TATCCAAGAGCATGGGAGATCTTTCCATTTTCTAGTATTTTCTTTAATTTCTTTCTTTAAACACACAAAGTACTTGCTATATAGGTTTTTCACTTGTTTGGTAAGAGTTACCCCCCAAGATACTTTATGTTGTTTGTGGCCACTGTAAAGAGTGATGTTTCTCTGATTTCTTTCTCTTATTGTCTGTATATAATAGGGCTATTGATTTATTTGAGTTAATCTTGTATCCTGCCACTTTGCTGAAGGTGTTTATCAGCTGTAGGAGCTCCCTGGTAGAGTTTTTCAGGTCACTTACGTAAACTATCATATCATCTGCAAATAGAGACAGTCTGACTTCTTCCTTTCCCCTTGATCTCCTTTTGTTGTCTTACTGCTCTAGCTAGAACTACAAGCACAATACTGAAGACATATGGAGAGAGTGGGCAGCCTTGTCTTGTTCCTGATTTTAGAGGAATAGCCTTAAGCTTCTCTCCATTCAGTTTGTTGTTGACTGTTGGTTTACTGTATATTGCTTTTATTATGGTTACGTATGTTTTGTTATCCCTGATCTCTCCAAGACCTTTATCATGAAAGGGTCTTGAATTTTGTCAAAGGCTTTTTCAGCATCTAGGGAGATAATCATGTGGTTTTTCTTTTTCAGTTGTTTATATGGTGGATCACATTGATAGATTTCCGTATGTTGAAGCATCCCTGCATCTCTGGGATGATGCATACTTGGTCATGGTGGATGATTTCACTGATGTTTTCTTGGATTCTATTTGCCAATATTTTATTGAGTATTTTTGCATCAATGTTCATGAGGGATATTTGTCTGTAGTTATCTTTCTTAGTTATGTATTTGTGTGGCTTGGGTACCAAGGTAATTATAGCCTCGTAAAGAGTTTGGTAATGAACCTACTGCTTCTATTGTGTGGAACAATTTGAGGAGTATTGTTATTAGCTCGTTTTTGAATTTCTGATAGAATTCTGCACAGAAGCCATCTGGCCCTGGGTTTGTTTGTTTGTTTTTGGGTTTTTGTTTTTTTTTTCTGGGAGGCTTTTGATGACTCTTTCTATTTCATTAGGGATTATAGTTCTATTTAAGTGGCTTATCTGTTCTGTATTTAATTTTAGTAAGTGATAGCTATACAGAAATTTGTCCATTTCCTTTGAATTTTTTAATTTTGTAGAGTATAGGTTTTCAAAGTATAACCTGAAAATTCTCTGGATTTCCTCAATGTCCATTGTTACATCCCCCTTTTCGTTTCTCATTTTGTTGATTTGCATGTTCTCTCTCTGCTTGTTGGTTAGATTGGATAAAGGTTTGTCTACCTTGTTGATTTTCTCAAAAAACCAACTCTTTGATCAATTGATTCTTTGTATTGTTTTCCTAATTTTTACATTATTGATTTCAGTCCTCAAATTGATTATTTCCTGGCGTCTACTCCTCCAGGGTATGTTTGCTTCTTTTTGTTCTTGGGCTTTCAGTAGCACTACTAATTCTCCAATGTGACTCTTCTCCGTTTTCTTCATATGGGCACTTAGTGCAATGAACTTTCCTCTAGCACTGCTTTCAAAGTGTCCCATAAATTCGGGTGTGTCATGTCTTCATTCTCATTGAATTCTAGGAAATCTTTAATTTCCTTCTTGACACAAGAATGGTGCAATTGCACACTGTTCAGTTTTAAAGGATGGGAAAGTTAGATTATAGTGGTTTTTCCAGTTCCTATCTTGTAACTTATTTTTTTTTTTCCCCACTACTTACATACAGAAATTTCCTCCGGGGCCTGGCAGCTCAAGAACAACTTTTCTACTTAATAAAGCTTATGTGCAAGGTAAACTACAGAGAACAAAAGCTCATGCCTGGTCCCTCCCCCTTAAACTTAGAGGACATTTAAACCTACCCAAAAGACAAAGACTGTCAATGGCCACCCCTCCTGCTAGGGTTCTTCTCCTACCACAGTGACCTCTCTATCCTAGCTCACACCTTACCTGGCCTTGCCCATTCTGCCACAGTCAATCAGTGGTTAGGGTACAGCTGCCCTAACAAGCACTGCAAGAAACACCAGAAATAGATGGCATGTCACTCGCGGGCTTACAGCATTGTCGTAAACACTTGCAAATAAGCACTGGCTCGTGGTATAGCATGGGATATGCTGACAAAGAGAACACAAAAGAGAGATGTGACAGAGAAGCATCAAACAGCAGGGCCACCACCTGAGAAGAGAATGTGTATGTGTCTGAAGCACATGGATGAGTAGAACAGAAGGCCAGGAAGTTCACTAGAATGAATAAGAAACAACTAAGGTTGACTCAGAAATCAAGTCAAACTTAGCCTAATAAAGGTGACACAGGAAAAATAGAATCTCTGTGTGTATTGCAAAGAGAGAACTGAATCAAGCCAAATTTTCACAGCCTCTTCACAGCAGGTATTATTTCTATCACCATTAAGAATTAAAAACAAAAGCAAGGAGGTAGTGGGGAGCGCGATTTTGTATGTAGACATCTAGGCCCAGAACTAGCTAATAAGCATTGCCAGATATTCTGTTTCTCAAGAGATCATGGACCACAAAGGGCAACTGAGAAAGCATTCCACAAGGCCTTAACACGGAACGGAGGTCTCACTAGTCTTAGTGTCTAAGAAATAGCATGTGGCACAAGTCACTGATAATACTAATACTGACAAATAACATTTAAACCTGAATGATAGATAGGTGCATTGCTGCCCCAGGGATTACTGTTAAGGAGCAGGGATGGTATTTGCAGAGGAGACTGTGCTGAGGACAGAGATCCCACACATGATCTACAATTTCTACTCAATTTTGGAGTAACCCAAAACCATTCTCTGAAATATTTATTCATTCTTTTAAAAAATGAAATGATAGGGAACTAACTTTGGAGGGACACTTTGTTACTATTCTAAGAGTAAGGCAGATGCAGAAAAAGTATGGGGGCAAATTTAAAGTATTAAGTAAACACAACAAAATAGTAGGACTATAGAATGGATGCTAGACTAGCTCTCATAACCTGCTGTATCCCAAAGGAGCAGCCTTATATAGGATCCCATCCCCTGCAAACCCATGTGTACTATGCCATTCCACATTGTAGCAATGCTTCCCCTGAGAAGCAGCTCCATTCCAGACATGGTGCCAGCACTGTCCTCCACCCCCTGCTTTTGTTCTCAGTCCTACCTACCTTATACTCCAAGAAGCATATCAGGATACATAACACCTTAATAATAAGTAAATGTTGCTATGCCAATCTCATTGTAACAAAGAGAACATATTTTAAGGCTTTTATTTCCGATTAGTACACAGAACAATTACTGTGGTGAAATATGGTAGAAGACAGCAAGGTTTTTGAAAAAATTACAAGTTACCAGGTTAGAAATAGAGGTGAAGGTGGGATGACTACGCAATAGTCTTAAAACCCAGAAAGGTTCACTGGTTACTACCTAGTGTTCTAAGGAAGACCTATGATGAGTCTGACCAGCTAAGTAACCATGCAGCTAGTCACAGCAGAATAATTAAAGTAGTTAAGTGCATGCATCAAAGACTGAAAATGTCTTCCATCCATCTCTCTTAAAGTCCAGAGTTCTAAAGTAACCATTCTGTTCTCTTAACTCCTCTAGCAATTCTATTCATGTTATCTGCCTAGTACATATGTCCCCATGCTGTTGTTGAGGTGTCTGTTTAGGGTATGTGTATGGTCATCCCCAGGGAAAGCAATACCCACAGATGTTCAAATCTCTTACAACAAAATATAAGACCTACACAAGACTTACAAATATCGACTATTCATCTTTATTTTTTAATACCTAATATATCATAGAAAAACCTGCCCTATTGTAGCATTTAGGCCATGACAGTAGAGCCATGTACATGTTCAGTACAGATACAATTTCATAAAGAATGTACAGATATGGTGGGAAGAATGTGCATATATGCATTTATACACATATCTCACTATCTTACCTGGACATTAAGGTTCCATCATAAATTTCTTTGAATTTGACTTCTGTTTCTACCAATACCCAAAATGCTTAGGAGACTCTGACAAATCTTTCTTCATAGAGTACATTTACCATGGTTAGTTTGGTAGTTCAAATAGAAATGCCTCCCCATAGGATCATATATTTGATATATGCATGCTTGGTCATTAGGGAATGGCACTACCTTACAGGAATCAGGAGGTGTGACCTTGTTGAAATAGGTGTATCACTGAGGGTGAGCTGGGGGTTTCAGATGCTCAAGCCAGGCCCAGTATCACTCGCTCTCTTCTGGCTGCCTGCTGATCCAGATGTATAACCCTCAGCTCCTTCTCAGCACTATATCTGCCTGTGCACCTCCATGCTTCCACAATGATGATAACGAACTAACTCTCTGAACTGTAAGCCAGCCCCAATTAAATGTTTTCCGTTATAAGGGTTACCATGGTCATGGTATCTCTTCCAAGCAAAAGAAACGCTAACAGAAATCTAAGATAGTATCTATTTTTGCTCACTAAAGGAAATGTCATCACCTCTATTTTTCTTTTACTTATAATTTATTTTCAAAGTATTTTTCTCTGCAAAATAAAACTCTTTAGTAACCACAAAAAGGATCCAAGTAGCCTATGTGTCAATTTACAATGCTTAAACCATGCTATCCAGAAGCATCCATGTGCTCTTTACATGACAAAGGCTGAGCTGTCCCCTTCCACTTGCCATATTCCAGAAGGCTTCAAAAACAATAAGCAAATGCAAACCACAGTGGCCACCATAAAAAACTAGCATCCTCCTTAACTGTGACTGGACTCAAAGAGGCTTCATCTCATCTGTTTAGAATTCCTACCTCAATGGCAATGCATCCTGTGTAGGCACAGTATTAGTATTAGAAGCTTGACAGCAAGTGTTAGGGAATAATACTGAGACGGGATTACCAATCTGTTAAAATTTATTACCTAAGAAGAATTGTGTGAATGTAGAACACAAACTCACATGCTACACACATTGACTTTTCTAGAGAAGTCCAATCACTTACCTTGAAGTTCCCCACTCCGACTATAGAGTTCCCTTCTCTGTTCTCGCAGATAGGCACTCATGCTGATAGCATGGGAGGATGATTCAAACCTACAGTGCAACACACAGTACCACATGGTTAAACCACATAAATGGCATCTAACTGTGTATTCCCAAAACCATCTATTCTATTGTATTCTGGTAGGCAAAACATTTCCTGGTGTATAGTAATTATAATTATGGCTCTTTTTTTTTTTTGGCTACACCATGAAAAAAACCAGAGACAGCTACCCAATCCTTTGTTTATTAGCAATATTCCTGCTACTGTTCCTCTACAGTAGCATTTAACCCTTGTCCTCACTGCCCATGTCACAAAGAATAATCCTGAACTATCTCAACTTCCTTTTACATTCAGACCATCATTACCATCATTGTTGTCATTGTTGCCAGAATACCTAGATACACAGCTACAAGTACATCCTAAAAAGTCATTCTTATTATGCTATTATCCAAATCAAAAGCCATCATTGAGTACCGGCTGCCTCAGCAGACATACTGGCTCCTCAGAGCAGTTCTCTTCCTCAAGTTCTGAGTTAAAAGACGAGTGCATGGGATATTCTACAAATGATCAGTGACATCAAAATAGCAGGCCTTTCGTGCGCTATGCTTTCTTGACTCCCATGGGAGGCCTTACCCCATCTAAGTGGAGACAGAGGAGGTGGGGGGGGCAGGAAGTGGTGAGGGGAGGAAGTAAGAGGAATTGAGGGAAGGGAAATTGTGGTTGATATGTAAAATAAATTTTAAAATGATAAAAAAAAGCAAGGCATTATTGATCTCTTTCTAAATATTCTAAAAAGACTGTTTCCAAATGGCTGCTAGTTTTTGGCCAGCCAATTGCACCATATAAAATATTTTGCAGGAATTATTCAAAGATGGGAAACAAACTTGTGGAAAAGAAGAGGTCTATAAAAGCTAAAATAAGGAACACAAAGCAAATTAGTCATAAAGAACAGCTTACAGGTAAGAATAAAATGAAATAAAATTAGGACTATATCAAATAGCAAATCCTTTGATGAGTAACAGATTCTTTTTTAAATCTTAGACTTTCAAAGCCAGGATAAGAAGCTGACAAAAGAAAGAATCCTTCTAAGAATTTAGCCACTAAAGGGTCAATAACATAGGGAGAGAGCAACAGGGTCCAGGGGCTCAGTGACTGGCAACAAGAAAGGAGCATCGTTTTCTTAATCATATCTCTCTTATCCACTCCTTACAAGGAAGATGAATACCAAGACGAGTATCAGCCTGTGAAGGAAACACTTCGTTTCCTTCATCCACTTTCTACACCCTACCAGGAACTGAGAAGCACAAAGAGCCGGAAGGAAGGCAAAGTGTACAGTACTTAAAAAGTGCCACCTGCCAGTCAAGTGCAGAAAAGAAGCCACTGACCTCCAAAAAGCATGCTGACAGCTATTGATCCAAAATGGCAAAGGAAAAAACAAACTCTCAAGCAAAGAATAAAGAAGCATGCGATGTACAGTAAGAGGGAACTTAAACACAATTAACCTTGGCTAAGGGCAATTAAGGAGGGTAATAAAGTCCTTCACAGATTCGCTAGAAACAGATTACAGCTCTCCACAATCTGAGTCCTTTATGACTTGATAGACTTGCTATTCATGAATTCTCTTTATGCTCACAACAAGTCACAGACTGAGATAATTCTATACTAAAAGAGGCTTGAGAGATTCTTCAGTTTCACCTCCTTATTTTATAGCCAAAGGCACTGAGGCATGCTCAGAAGTGACACCTACTTGGGCCTGTATGGCTAATTGACAGTGGAAGCACTCTAAAAGTGAGCAGATGTGTATAACTGTCCAGTTCTGGCACAAGGAGGAGTTTTATTACTAACCAACAATAATAAATGTAAAACAATTATTTACATTAACTTTTTCATTTCTTACAATTAGGGGATTTTCCACCCACCCACTCCCACCCTTCCACCCCTATACCACAATTTAGCCAATGCTAAAAGACTGAATGTGTTTGTATGGTCTGAGGCTGAAGACAGTGACGGTTAAGAGTATGACATGTTAAAACCCTGAAGCCTGCTTTCTGCAGTAAGATAGGAAGAGTATACTGGTTACTTTTCATTATCAATAAGACATAAACCTGGGCAGACAGAATGTTATTGTCAATAAGACATAAACCTGGGAAGAGCCTTGATCAAATATGGGCATTTGGCACATTTTCTTGAATGCTAATTAGTAAGAGGGTCAAGCCCACTGTGGGTGTTACCATGCCTAGCCAAGTAGGCCTGCACTGTATTAAAAAGTTGTGTAAGGAACCCAGAAGGAGAGAAGAAATCAGTAAGCAGTGTTGTCCTGTTCTTCCATAGTTCCGGCTTCATTTTCTACCCTAACTTCCTCAATAATGAACTAATGTGGAGTTGAAGCCAAATAATCCCCTTCCTCCCAAATTTGCTTTTGGTATTGTTTATCGCAAAAAGAAAAGGTATATAGAGCAAAGAGTAAATGTAGCTTTCAAAGAAGGAGGGACTGGGAAGGGGAAGAGAAAGAAACAGGTTGAATGGCATAAGAAAACTAACACAATATACACCCAAAACAAGAGTTCAAGGCCAAAAAGAAAGAAAGGCACTGAAATGACTTTAGCATGGGGAGGTGGTACACACACACACACACACACACACACACACACACACACACACACACACATCACATCACACAGACACACCACACACATTCATGCATACACACACAAATATTCATACACACACCACACATTCATATATACACACACAAATATTCATACACACACCACACACATTCATACATACACACAAACACACACACACCACACACATTCATACACACACACATTTATGTCATTCTGTAAATATGTTTCTCACACTGGTTAATGAATAAAGCACTGTTGGCCAACAGGAAAGCAAGATAGGAGGAACTAGGAGACAAGGAGGAGAGAGGAAGTAGGAAGGAGGAGTCAGCATGGAGAGACTGGGAAGATGAGATGCCTGCCCATTTCCCGGTAAGATTAGGGCATGTGGAAGTACTTATATTTAACAGAAATGGGTTAATACTTAGGACAGAGCTAGCCTATAAGAAACTAGTACCTGGCCAACAGCATTATATCAAATACAGAGTCTCGGTGTGTTAATTGGGGCTGGCACAGCAGCGAGACAAGACCAGCCAGGCTGGGGGAAAATGTTACTCCTTACACATTTACACACACATACATAACACATATACACACACATTCATACACACACATCCACACACACCACATTCATACACACATACATAACACAAATACACACACATATCCATACACACACACACAAATCCATACACACACACACATTCATACATACACACGTATGCATATAATATAGGTCTATACTTTATGCCTTTTGAAGTTATGTTTATGGTTCATAATCAAGTTCAAAGATTAATCAAATTTCAAAAGTTTAAAAACTATGTAAAATATGAAATAAATAAAATATGTAGAATATGCTTGTTTCTTTTCATTTGTTTTCCTTTATCCAAATAAAATGGTGTTTTGAGTTCATCACTCAAATTCAGGTATGTGGACAGAATATGGATATGGTTAAACTCAGGCCACAAGCACACTGGCCCTTGGCAAGTACAGTCCGAGTGTTATTTTTAATGTCCTTTTTTGAGCATCTATCTCTGCAAAAGAAAACAAAAAAATGCTGCCTCTAGAGGCTACAGTGATTTACAGTGAGTTGCGGCTTTTCATTGTCCACAAGGACTGAACTCAAGAGTGACAGCCTTCTTGTTTGTGTCCTCACTACCACTTGCTAGCGGCGACTTCACATCGCTTACTTCATTCCTCTCGTATATTAGCTCTTGTTTGTGAGGACGTTTATATGTATACCACTAAGTAAGGAACAAAGACATGGCACTGCTGCTACAGTTGCTGAAACTGTGTTACTATCAAATGAAACTGCTTAGTCGGAACCATTTGATAAGCTCACTTCGTGTGTAGCATCTGTACATAGAAAGCATCCCATCAGCACCATCCATTAGCATTATCAACATCAGTCCTAACTTGTACATGCTAATTCTTGTTACCAAGAAACACATACTCTGAACACACAGCATGGTAGATAGAGTTCACTAATATGGTAACTGAGGAAAAAGTTAGGACTTGGGGATGGCTGCTTTATTAAGGACCAAACCACATAAGGCCCAGTACTGCTTAGCTAGGGAGAGCTGCATAACTTTATTAACAATTATTTATTGCACTTGGGATTTTTCAGGGATGACATATTTCATTTCCTATAAAATTCTCCAGAAACACCTGGGACTTTTCACTTTCCTTAATTTTGTATGAAACTCTCCAGAAACAAGTTTAAAAGATAAACTCAGAGTTATATAGTTCAACAGTCATTCCAAAACAGCCACTCTACCTGACAGAAGGCAACAGGAAACAAAACAGGATATGTTCATTTCCTACAAACTGCTTCAAGGCAGCTTCTGCTAGAAAATGTATGTCTGTAGATGATATAGAAGCTGACTATTCACAGCTTGCTATCTATCCTCTCTCTGTGATATCCTGATACTTACTTGAAAAGGGAATTCTTTGGCCTTTGTGGTTTCTTCTTGGCAAAAAAGGCTGCGAACTCTCGTCCAGTGCTGGCATAGCTTAGTTGAGCTGATGGTTCTGATGCAGTCCGTGTGTTTTTCATATCCAAGTACTCAGTCAACAGCATCTGTACAATTAGATGAGCAGTTGAATTTACACATGTGCTATTACACAAATATAATTCTAAAACCCCATCCCAGACTTTCAGAATATATTAACAGATATTAATTCTTCTAGTCAGATATGTAAGGAAAGCTTTATTACAGCTATAAAATCTTATACTTGTTAGCAATTTACAAGAAACAGGACATTGTAAGCATTGCAACATGCCAGGTAGCATGCTGAGTGAATTAGTCAAAATTCCTCTTTACTCAGCATTTAATCCTCATTATTCCAAAGAACAGCAGCATAAACCGCAATGGCCTCATATTTACTAAGAGCTTACTGTGCTCTAGACAAGGTACTAATCAATTAAATATATTAGGTTGTGAGGTCCAGAGAGGTTCATGAGCTGTAAAGTAGTCCCTGGTGGACTAATGCCAGAGTCCACAATTGACCCTTCACAATGCCAGCACTATAGACAAGCATGCCAGCAAGCTCATCAAGGAAGGCCTATAAAGTGGGTAAGAAGGGAGAAGATCCCAAACTTCAGAAACTCACTAGGACAGCTATGCATTTCTGAAAGAGGAAAAGAGCAACTGGTTTTGTGATCAACACTTCCAACAGGTACTCCTTATAAAATTCACTGGAGAGCCACACAGATTGGAGCCTGTGCTACATCAACTATGGCTAACTGAATTCTAAACTGAATTTAAAAATACAAATTTGTTAGCCAGGCAGTGGTAGTTAGTACTTGGTAAGCAGAGACAGGTAGATTTCTGTGAGCTTGAGACCAGCCTGGTCTACAAAGCTAGTTCCAGGACAGCCAGTGCTGTTACACAGAGAAACCCTGCCTCAAAAATGATAGATAGATAGATAGATAGATAGATAGATAGATAGATAGATAGATAGATAGACAGACAGACAGACAGATTGATTTGGAACAGAAAGCACAATAGTTCCTAAGAATACCTAATAAAGCTAAAGCAGTTAAACTTAATTTTCAATTCTAGCATAGAAAAACTGCTCATGAGCTCAAGGAATTGTTTTTCTGAGACTCAAGGTCTCATCTGACTATTGACTCACTCACTGAACATTAAACTCTATTTTAAATATCATCATCAAAAAAGCATTTCTGAAGCCTATGGACCTTATGTAGTAAGACTAAAAGTGATTAAACCTCTTCCATAAATAAATACAAACTACTCAATACTTAAACATCAGAAATTTTTTGTTTGTTTGTTTGGTTGGTTGGTTGGTTGGTTGGTTGGTTTGGTTTGTTTTTTTGAAACAGGGTTTCTCTGTGTAGCTTCGTATACCAAGCTGGCCTTGAATCCACATGCCTCTGCCTCCCATGTCCTGAGATTAAAGGCGTGCACCACCATTTTTTAAACATTATCATTCTTTAAAGTCTCAAATCTATGAATCTGGATTTCTATTTTGTACTTAAAGAAGTAAAATTTCAAATGGCCCAATTTCAACCTAATTTGAACGACTCCAAACCGTGTGTTCTGGGCCAGGATGCTCCACAGTGCTGCACATTCAAGTTTTTTGTAAGAACAGCCCTACAGGTAGTAATAGCTTCTCATGATAAAAATTGTACAGGAAGACTATAAAATATTCTAGCAGAAAGGGAAAATGCTTTTCCTATGAGACCACTGGATATTATCCAGCAAGTCCATAAAATAAGATAGTAACAAAAACTCACTTCTGATAAACATCACTCAACTATCATTATCAGGAAGACACTGGATTGAATCTCTATGAACAGCTCAAGTGAGGAACTTGATCGTGCTGTGGGTTAAGATAACTGTTAGTAAGATACTCAGCTATCTGTGATCAAAAGAAAGAGAGAAAACTCAAAAATAATTTAAAGTGATGCAAGCATAGGAAGGTTTTTTACCAACTCACTATGTCAATCAGGATTTGCCCTTAATACCAATGTAATAGAGAATGTCTCCTGCTAAAACAAAGCTACACTAAACCAAGTAATTCTTGTAAGACCCTTAATGTCCCAGGATTCAATAACTGGCCTGCATGACAAATCACTGATCAAGGAGGTATAACTATCAGACATCCCCAAACTCAGGTATCTTAAGATTGGTGTTCTTTTTCTCCATACCAGTAACACCCCTGAATTATTGCCTTGCAGCTCTGTTCCTTGGGCTATTTCTCTCCCCTAGTTATCTCTATCTACAAACAGACCCTTCTTCCATCTTCTCAACAAAATTTACCTTTGGTCATTATGTGATATCTATAATCTTTAATTCGTTTTTGCCTTTAGGTTCCAAAGTTTTAAAAGTAGCCTACGTATCTATTGTTTCCTTTGCTATAATATGGTTTACTGCTGAAGTCTCTCACAAATTATATTCTCATGTGTATGAGCGTATGTTTGACATTACTAGTACAGTCATATTTCACTGACAAAATCAACTTTGCTAAAACGTAAATCATTTTCAGATACAAACAGCTATTCCTACTGTTGCCTTTTCATTTTTACAGATTTTTTTTTAACCCTTAGCTGCCTCTGGGTTTAAATACAGGGCTGATTTAATAATGTTTAATTAAAATGTAATTAAATCATTTTCACCCTTCCATTTCCTTCCTCCACTGAAGCATGCTGTAGTAATGTCCAGCAGTGACAACTGGTGTTTACTAAGTCTACCCACTAGACATTTTGGGGGAGCTACTTGGCAAAGCCAAGTCACCAGACATTTTGGGAGAGTCCTATTTACCAAAGTAGGTAGGGTTATTGACAATGAATGACTTGTTGTTTCTGTCCATAACACTGTTGAGTGCCTTTACTTAGTGTCCTAGTAAGAACAGCTGTAGGGTTATTTCCACAGTCCTTTGCTTGTGTGTTTTATACTTGTGGGGTACAAATATAACTCTGGATAATCAAAAAGATGATACTTAGACTGCATAATTTTGATTAACAAAGATACTTGTCAGTCACAAAGACAGCCTTTTATACAGCCAGGCTAACCTTAGAATTCAGAGCAAATTCAAAGCAGTCTTGTTGGCACTAGAGACAATACCTGGATATGCCAAGAGACACATATATAAGGTCATTTCTCCAGGTGTCCTTGGATTGCCAGTGGAAAAACATGTGCTTGTTTATTTTTCCCCACGGATAAAAAAGTCTAGTAAGCCTCAAATAAGAAACTTTCCCACTACACTGAGGCTTTCACTGTAACATGGAGTAGGGGAAAATTGGACTCCCAAGGTCCACATTATTCCAACATCTACTAGGTACCCCCTTGATCTCTATATGAATTTTAATATGATATAGCAATATATATATTCCTAATCTAAAAACATAAGCACTTGAATCAATATATTAGCTGTGTGTATATATGTGTGTATATATAAAAATGTATATTCATATTCTCTGTGTGTGTGTATGTGAGAGAGAGAGAGGGAGAAAGAGAGAGAGAGAGAGATCTTGGGGCTGGTAATGAGAACCTGTGTGTTTGTGTGTGTATGTGTGTGATCTTGGGGCTGGTAATGAGAACGTGTGTGTGTGTGTGTGTGTGTGTGTGTGTGTGTGTGTGTGTGTGTGTGTGTGTGTGTGTGTGTGATCTTGGGGCTGGTAATGAGAACCAGCCAACTAAACAGAGCTAGTAAGTCATGGATCTCAGATGAAAACCTACAACCACTACTTTACTAAACAAGCAAAATCCCTAACTACATTCTAAATATGTATCCCTTTTCCCCACAAGTATAGATCTAATCTCTAATCATGGACATTTGTCCTTGAAACAAATGTGGATCATTACAGAAAGCCATAACTGATATAACTGATCAAAATGTAGGGAACAAGAGATTTAGTGGTGCCCAGTCCCATTGGATAGATACATCAACAAGCACAATTCCTGCCCTTAAGAACTGTCTTTTGATGCAGTCTCACATGCTCTCACCTATTAAAGGGTCTGTCCAACCTCTTTATGTGTATACCCATCCCTGTCCCTAGGACAGCTTAGTTCATCCAAGTAGTTTTCCTCACTCAATTCTCTGCTCCCCTTATTATCCCAGTACTTCCAAACATCACAGACAGATCATCCAACAATCAGGCTTCCAAATATATTTCCTTTCAACTGTACTTTATTCCCCCTCCCAGCAATCAAGTGTTACAATCAAATCTACATACTTCAGCATTTCCCGGAGTATATATGTACCTTAGCATTTCTAGAACCCTAGTGTATACTACCCTGGCTCTCATAAACAAGAGTAATGCCAGTGTGTTCTGTTCAGACACTCTCAGACAGCTGTTCCCTTTTCTGAACCCCAAAAGCACCATTGTTAAGTAAGTAGTCACCAAAAATTCCCTAATACTGTTAGCCCTTAATTCATATGGTTCTTAAAGCATTATATTTCTGTATTTCTACTACAGGGACAAAAATACTGTTCATATATTGAATGTAGGTGTTATAAAAAAATGATAATATATAGACTCAAAGGTATTGTGAGTTGAGAACAATCTCCGAAGAAGGAATCCACAGTGTACACAAATCTGTAAGACAAGTAAAATGTAAAAGGGACAGGAATGATCTGAACCACAGGCTAAATGGCTATGGCATTAGTTTGCCCAATTGTGTTTGTGCATGTATGTATATGCATAAATAAATATAAACATTGTGCTGCACATTAACTAGCTAAAAACTAAATTGCTTTTAAATCAAGTAACATTTTCTTCTGATAACAAAATCTGGAAAGGTAGATTTTTGAATGTCTCAAAAAAGAACAGCTATAAAAGTCCCTATTCATAAACTGCTTGAAATGTGACTGAAGTGGGTAAGTAAAGTCTTCTCATTCAAAATCTTCACATAAATATCAGATGCCTAAAAGTAAAATATAACTAGTAGCATGGAGTACAGCACACACTGGCATTGTGTTCAATCCCAAGCATCAAAAAGTAAAATAAACTACTAAAACTATAAAATTACATGATAATTCTTGGTAGGCAACGAACTGTATATTCTAAATTGCATATACCTACTTTAAGCACGTACCCATAAATCCAAATTT